AAGCGTTAGTTTCAAGGTGACCAGAACGGCGTAGGCTCCGGTTTTCATCGATACAGATTATCAGCAGATTAATGGCATGTCTAACTGAGATACATAATGTTCCACCAATACTTACCTGTAATAGTAACTTAGTAGTAACTTAATAGTAATTGTGGTCTGAAGTACATTCACCGCCCTGAAATGACGAAAGTGCTGTTATGATTCAGGTGACTGAAATGGCTCTTGATCAGCTGACGTGCATTGTTTTTAGCGCAGTTTTCCATTATCTCGTTTAAAAATAACTTTTAGATGCATACTCATCAGTACAAAGCGATGGAAGATATCTTCTTACTCGTATATAAATCACTGGTGCTGCCAGTTTCTTGCACATTCGTAATAAAAACCACATGCCAATTAATAAACCAAATAAAACACTTGATCAGCCGAAAAAGGCTTTAAATGCACTTTATTCAAATGTTTGGTTGAAAAAGTGACCTACTTTTCTGTCCCTCTAGTTCGTAAAAGTCCGCCAAGTGACGTGATAATTTATACGCATGGCACATTACTGCTGCACGAGAAGCTGAAACATTATTCAAAACATTATTTTTGGAGGGTGAAGTAAAATGAAATTATTTTGTATTTATTTAAGTTGTGCTATTTGAAACTGTATGGTGACATTTGTTGGGTTAAGTGGCAAGAATTAGACATGATTCCGCGCTTTGTGCAGGTATTCAACTTCATTTAATTAAACAGATAGAGTGTCCGACAGACACCAATATAAAGGGGATTAAGTCGGTATAAAATATTGGGCTGTCGTATACCAGTAAATCCACGCTGACATGACGCAAAGTAACTTGCTTTTTTAGGCCAAAACGAATCTGCTTTCAGCTGAGAGTACCATTATTCAGTCAATAGATAAGTACAAATGTATTGTTGACTGTTGATAAGGGAAGATTAAAAACACACGTAGACCTAAATTATCACAATAAGGGACAGCAAAACAACTGGCGAACTATATATTAACATATAATGATAATCAAACACACACACACACACACACACACACACACACACACACACACAAAATTACACATATCAATCATACACCCCATTCTCATAGATTAGATCGACCTACATTGGATCGACCTAACTCCCTGGGAGTTCACGCTAAATAGCTGTCAGCCGGGCGGACACGAAAGTTAATTACCCCTTAAAGCTTGTAGTAGGCGGGGACGGACACTTAAGGGGGATTATCTGACAGTAATCTAGTGAGACTCCCCGCGGTGATAGATCGATCTAAAAGTTGTGAGAACAGAGCCTTAAAGACAAACGCAGATGTTCACACTCAAATCATTATATATAAATACAAACGCACACACACACACGCACACAACCACTCTCTTGGACATGGAAGAACGAGCTCAAAATCACGATCATTGCTGTAGATTTATTTTACCAATTTATATAGAACCGTACAATTATCGCATTTACCTATAGACCCGAATATAAACAGATATTGACAGGCCTACCCAACTACCAGACTCGGCACCGAATGATTATAAATTCACCGGTAGGCCTGTATCAGACCACACTATCTGCTTTCAAGGTGTGCGTCAGCACCCGCTTCGAAGTATCGGACGCGACACCGCTCTCGCCTAGTTCGCGATGTGATAGTGATTCTCAGCGGGGTTGGAAAGTAGTGCATCTCATTTCAGAATTTGTTCCGAGGTACGATACTGTGAAATGCGTACTGACACATGGATTTCTGGGCACCAACAATTCGTTTTACAAACCTTTCTACATTTAAATATTTTAAATAAAAATAATATTACACGTTTTTTTATTATTTACTGAAACACACCAGCTTTATTAAATGTAGTTTTATTTGTTTCTGTTTTTCAGCAACAGAATTTATCCTAGAGTGCATTCGAAGTCTTTTCTACGGCAACAGACAAGAAGAACGCCACCTAAAGGATCCGCGCGTGGTTTCCATGGAGATCATTCAAGTCACAATGGCGCGAAAACATGAAATGTACACAAGCGTTGACATCTACAGCTTGTTCCTGCCAGGCTCTCGTACAGATAATTCCACACAAAGGTCTCAGTTACATTAAATTTGTCTGGCGAAGTCACTGAAACTTTTTCCATTTTTGATCAGAAGTGTCATTTTAGAACAGAAATAATGGAATAGTGAATATGAGGGAAATGAAAATAAATAAAACATGCAGATAATCACATGTGTAATAGAAATAATGTTTTTTCTAAGTTGGCAAATTTTTCTTCTCTTGATTCCACATTTCGCATCATCATAAAGCACTATATACATGTATAGGAAAATAGTTCCTGGAATTAGATTCCTGGCGGAGGTGCACTCGGCCCTCGGTTTCCGGTCGCGCAGTCGCAGTGTAACCTGGCATGGAGGCCTGCACCTCGTGCTGAAAAGACATTGATACATTTTAAACATATGTGTTATAATACTGTATACCTTTATTTGGAAGTTTGAGATAACAATTAAGTATGC